TAGCTGTCTCATCCCCAGGCATTCTCCAGGACAGCAGCTAACAGTGCAGCCTGCATCTGTTAAGTCCATGACTCTCCTTACAGTTATCATTTACCACAACTTCCACTATTTTTGAGTATCCTTAGCTTTGAACTTCTCCATGCTCTGTTGCAAACAAAGTCAGTTCCTTTGAAAAGAGATAAGGAGCTATCTGTTTTATGGGCTATTTCTCTCCCCAGGCAAAATCTCGGGGCTCTGGAGCAGAAGGTGTGTACCATGGCACACCTGTCTCTGAGTGACCCCCCACTTTAGGGTTGAGCAGTCTCTGGAGGGTGCCAGGGATAGCCTGAGGTCTTGGTTTTCTTCTGTTTTAAGGAACCATCACCTCACAAGTCGGGCCAAGGGCGATCAGGGTGCCCGTACTCTCAGCTATGTCCCAGGAGGAGCCTCACCTCCATGAGCAGGGGCTTTGTGGAATAAGGGAGTCCTCACGTCTCTGCCACACTCACCCAGGATGTAGACTCAGGAACAGGCAGCTGAGGGGAAGATAAGAAGCAAACTGTCCTGCTCCTGCTGGGGAGAACGGAGCTGGAGGGGAGCCGCTGTCTGTTGTTTTCTGTACAATGTATGGTGGAGTTTCCATCTCACAGAGTGGGAAGAAGGCAGGCACGGTCTCGGCTCAGATACAACAGACTGGCCCTTCTTACTGAATTTTCATAGATGTACTTGAGTAGATGTTTCTTCACCTGCTGTTTCCCCTTAGGACCATTTTCAGAGGCTTTACCTGTGTTTTTATGCTGTTCACAGTCTCTCTGGGAGCAGGTCCGTGGAGCTCCCCACATCAGAGGTTGGCCTCCCTTCCGTTCTGAACGGAAGTGGTAAATGAACTCATCCAGAATGTCACCCCGTTGGAATCTCTCTCATCAGACTCCCCAATGGCTTCCACTTTGATAACTCCAATGGCCAGTCCCCTCATCCTGAGAAAGCACCAGCAGCCTCCCCCAGCTGATTGCTCCTTTTTTATGCAGCACTTTTTTTTTCACTTGACTTCCAGAAAAATGCAGTGGCTTACTGTTCTCCTGCTTTACCTATTTTGGCTCCTTTTTCTGGTTTCTCCTGTCTCTCCAAATTCCAGAGATCAATCACCAAATAGCCTCTCTTTTATCTCATTTACTCTCTTAGTGTTCTCACTCCATGCCATCATAACTTTACCCTTTGCGTGTGGATGAATCAAATTTAGGTATCTCTAGCCAAGACATCGCCCTAGTCCCCACACTTGCTTACTTTACTGCCGGCTCACCCTGTCTCTTTAGAAGCATCACAAGTAAATGTGCCCAAAGCTGCGCTCCTGACCTATGCCCCCTCCCGCCTGCCCCTGCCAGTCATTCCCTCGTGGTAAGCAGCATCTCTACGCTTCCATTTGCTCAGCCAAACACCACAGATTCATTTCTGTTTTCTCTCTTTCTCTTGTGCCCTGAATTCAGTTCATTGGAAATTCTTGTTGGCTTTACAAATCCAACCACCCTCTCCCCATCCCAAAGCCACCCCCTGAGTCTATTTCCAGCAAGCATCATTCCTTGCCTGGATTATTCTAATCAGCTTTCCATTTTCCATTACCCCTTTCAGTCTATTTTTAACACATCATCCGGTCGGTTTTTGATAAAACATTTCAGATCGTTTCAGATCTGCTCAACGCCCTTCAATGATGTCACATTACAATAAGAATAAAATCCACGTCCTTATTATGCCTTAAGTAAGAGCCAGAGAAGAAGAGCAGGTTTCATCAGGTGCCCTGCATCACAGAGAAGGAATTGGTTTATTACAGCAGAGATACACCGGGGTCAGAGGAGTCCTCATGGGAAATGGTGAATGTTGAGGTTCGAGATTCTAGAGATAAATAGGTGTTCACCAGAAAGATGAAGCAGAAGGACGTAATTAGACGGAGCTGTGTGTGTAAAGGGACAGACAGGAGCTGTCTTGTCCTTTCTCCATGTTCAGGGGTCTTCTTTCCTGGCTTCCTCTGTCACCTTTGGCTTTACACAATCACCTCCACCTTCAGCTTTATCCTCCTGCAAATTATCGAGTGTGCAGAAACCATCTCATTCATCTCCTTTTCTATTCCAGCAGGTAGCAAAATCAGTGAAAAGTAAATAAATCTTACATTCTGNTCTCCTTTTCTATTCCAGCAGGTAGCAAAATCAGTGAAAAGTAAATAAATCTTACATTCTGGTGAAAAAAATGCTAATTAAGGTGAGAATGACCTCTAGTCAAGGATATTTGCTTTCTAAATGAAAAATTATTTAATCATAACAAACTCTACTCTGATAGATTTGGCCTGAAAATTATGCAGGACTGTTTTATAATATCTCCATTTCCTACTTTTCTTATATCCTCTTCCTTGCTTAACAAAGTAATGAAACGCATGTGTGAGAGATCATTAAAACATAATTTAGTGTGGATCTTGTTTTTTTAAAAAAATGTTTCTTGCATTTTGTTATGTTTTCTACCTTTTAATTATCTGCTTAATACTATGGAGGTGTAGGTTACATAAATACATTATTTTATTTAAAAAATACATAGAAATATTAATGACATTTCTCTTTTATAAATAGTTATATGTATAGTATCTTTTTTAAAGAATTTGCATGCTAGGGAAGAATAAGTACCGTATTTGAGCCAATCAGTTTGTTGTTGATAATAATTTGCCGTGGTTGGCGTATTAGTCAGGGTTCTCCAGAGAGACAGAATCAATAGGATATGTTATAATTATATGAGAGGGATTTATTAGGGGAATTAGCTCACGTGACTGTGAAGAAAAGTCCCACGATAGGCCGTCTATAAACCGGATGCGGGTAGCGTGGCTCAGTCCAAGTCCAAAGGCCTCAAGACCAGGGAAGCTGATGGTGTCTTTGGTGTAAGTCCTGGAACCCAAAAGCTGAAGAGCCTCGAGCTCTGATGTCTATGGACAGGAGAGAAGAGTGTATCCCAGCTCCAGTGGATCGAGAGAGAGCTCCACCTCTTTCCTCTGTCTTTTGTTCTCTCTGCACCCTCAGCAGACTGGATGGTTCCCACCCACACTGAGGGTGGGTCTTTCCCACCCAGTCCACCCAGACTCTCATGCTAATCCCTGCTGGAAACACCCTCATGGACACACCTGAAAAGACAGCTTTACCAGGTTTCTCAGCATCCCTTCATCTAACCAAGTCGACACCTAGAATTTAACCTTCACAGTTGGGTTTGTGGCAAGTTGAGACTCATGGAAAAGGGATGGAGAGAGAGCTGCTTCTTCAGAGCTCCACGGTCAGCCAGACACGCACATGTGCTCCTACAGCAGCGTCACTGCCACGAGCTCTAAACACCTCAACAGTTATTACTAAGGAGTCTGTGAAATGATGAATCCTTACCAGAGTGGTGTTTTGGGGTTAGAACTTTCTTTAATGCAGTGAGATCTCTTTTTTATTTTATTTTTTATTATTAGCATATTCATTCTTATAAATTGTGATATTTCTTTTTTTTTTTTTTTTTTGTCTTTTGTCT